TTTTTAAATAATATTTTATTCCTAAGAACTCGGATTTCGGGTTCACTAATGGAGGGGCATAATTAAGACGGTTCATCACTGTACACGACCCCACCAACAAAATAATAAAAAATCCCTATGAACTCCATAAGGATTCACTAATGGAGATGGTCTTAGGTGAAAAAATGACTCTTGGATATTACTATAAATAGACATACGTAATCGAATACGTAATCTACCACTACTACAATTACGAAAAAAAGACAAAACCAAACCTAAAGTTATGAAACAGACAAAACTAGCTTACTCCAACTACGAAAAAAGAAACCTAAAGTTGTGGAACTTTAGCAAACTAAACGACAGATACTTTGTGAATACTTTGTGAACTGTGATAAGCTTCAAGATATATCTAAACAGATCTGGAAATGCCAACAAGATTGAGCTATGTGTCATCATCTCGTTAACCTTACTTTTTTTTCCTTTCTCACGAAGTCTTCCGAACACGGCGCCGAAAGCTTTCTCCATTGCATGAAATTTTAATCATTCAGCATTAAACATTTTATGGATAATTGCATGAAATTTTAATCATTCATCAGTAAACATTTTATGTTGATATTATCCACCATTGCATGAAATTTTAATCATTCATCATAAAACATTTTATGTTGATAGTTTCAAAAAAAAAAAAAACATTTTATGTTGATATTATCCAGCAATGAGAAGATAAAATTTATTAAAAGACAAGCGTATAAAGCCTTTATTATTTTCGCCAATCCATAATAAATCAGAATCTTATCACAAGCGTGACAAGCGTACTGGCCACGTGCTTGCGCTTGTGCTCTGGTCCTTGCACACAATTAAGAAAAAGTTTTTAAAGCTTCCCCTAACCATCAGATCTGAATTTGCCAACTAAGAATAAAAATAAATTAAAAATCTTAAGACCACATAATATATCTCACGTGTCTTAAGACTCTTGACTATATATGAGATTCAGACCAGATCTCTCTATGTAATAGTAACTTCATATCTGTCTCCCATCCCTACACAATGGATGAAAAGCTAGTGAAGAAGAGAAGGATAGTGTTGGTTCCAGTACCAGCACAAGGACACGTCACTCCTATTATGCAACTTGGGAAAGCTCTTCACTCTAAAGGCTTCTCCATCACTGTTTTTCAGACACAGTACAATCGTGTTAGCTCTTCCAAAGATTTCTCTGACTATAACTTTCTCACCATCCCAGGTAGTTTAACCGAGTCTGATCTCAGAAAACTCGGACCACTCCAGTTTTTGTTGAAGCTCAATCAAGTCTGCGAGGCAAGCTTCAAGCAATGTTTAGGTCAGCTACTGAAGGAACAAGGTGAAGATGAAGAGGTTGCTTGTGTCGTCTACGATGAGTACATGCATTTCTCAAAAGCTGCGGCTAAGGAGTTTCAACTTCCTAGTGTTGTCTTCAGTACTACAAGTGCCACTGCCTTTCTCTGCCGCTCTGTTATTTCCAAGGTCAACGCAGATAAGTTCTTAATCGACATGAAAGGTACACAAGATTCTTAACTCATTTTCAAAATCCATTTTGTTAATTCTGGAATTTTCTTAAAATAAAAGTAATTATATTTTAGAATTAGTACAAAATTACAGATGCGAGTCTAAAAATTTGTCAATTACTTCATCCATATTGACAAAAAAAAATTCATACGTATAATCAAATATGTAATACCTAAATAATATTTGCATTAATTTGTTTTGCTCTCTTAATTTTTTTTTTCTAAATGTTAATTCGCATTAATTCACAACACATGTAGACTAATTACACCTGTTCGGTTTGTCTGTATAGATCTTGAACTACAAGACAAGCTGTTTCCAGGGTTACATCCTTTAAGATACAAGGACCTACCAACTTCAGCTTTTGGACCAATAGAGAGTATTCCACAGGTTTACAGTGAAACTGTCAACACTGGAACAGCTTCAGCTGTTATAATCAATACAGCAAACTGTCTAGAGAGCTCTTCTTTGGCACGGTTGCAACGAGAACTACAAGTTCCGGTGTATCCTATAGGCCCACTTCACATTGCAGCTTCTGCACCTTCTAGTTTACTTGAAGAGGACAGAAGCTGCATCGAGTGGTTGAACATGCAGAAACCAAGATCAGTTATATACATAAGCTTAGGAAGCTTAGCTCTAATGGAAACCAAAGACACGTTAGAGATGGCTTGGGGGTTGAGTAATAGCAACCAACCTTTCTTGTGGGTGATCCGGCCCGGTTCTATTCCAGCCTCGGAGTGGACAGAGTCCTTACCAGAGGAGTTCAGCAAGCTGGTCTCGGAGAGAGGCTACATTGTTAAATGGGCCCCACAGATGGAAGTTCTAAGACATCCTGCTGTAGGAGGGTTTTGGAGTCACTGTGGATGGAACTCGACTCTAGAGAGCATTGGGGAAGGTGTTCCAATGATATGTAGGCCTTTTACTGGAGATCAGAAAGTCAATGCTAGGTACTTGGAGAATGTTTGGAAAGTTGGGTTTCATTTGGAGGGAGAGCTTGAGAAAGAAGATGTTGAGAGAGCTGTGAAGAGGTTGCTTGTGAATGAAGAAGGAGCATATATGAGGAAGAGAGCTATTGAATTGAAAGAGAAGCTTGAATCCTCTGTTAGAAGTGAAGGTTCTTCATGCAGCTCATTAGATGACTTTGTCAATTCCTTAAACCTGAAGAGTTCCATATAGCAACAAAATTATTTAAAAAAAAAGTGTATTAGAAGAGACTAGTTATTTGGCATTATGTACCAAAATAGCATAGAAAGGGCTTGTTTTTCTATTTGAAGTGTAGTGTTTTGGCAGTTTTCTCTAAATAAAAGAGTTTCCTTATTTGGAGTCCTGGAGACGAGCATTTTGGATAAGAGGTGAAAGGTTTGAGATTCTCCACTATAGTTGCTGAGACCAACAAGTTACATCACTTGAACACTCAACAGTGTGTAATCGGGCCAGTTTGGTTTCTGTTTGCAAATCTCGTTTCCTAGAAAAGACTTTGTAGGAGAAATTTCAAGGTCTGTTTGAGTCAACTGTTGCATGTGTTCATGTTCTCCGCTAAATTTCAAGGTCTGTTGCATGTGTTCATGTTCAAGCCTCTGACAAAAAAAGAGGATCCCAATGGCCAATACACATACTTGCTCACAAAAATGATACTATAATATTACGTAGATCTAATAATCTTTAGAGTACTATTTTTAAGAAATATATCTACTTAGTATTTTCTTCTTTTTATATATGTTTTAGTGTGTTTTCTATATGTTTTAGGTTTATGTATATCAATCGGTATTTGGTTGTTGTAAGAAGGAATCTCTGTGGAATAAATACAAGATACTTCCAATTTTTAGGAAGTGACCCTCCCACATATGTAACATGAAGATAATATGTTAGCATATGATGTGAAAATAAATATTGTGGAAATGGGTCATTAATGGCTAAAACTACTCTTAAATAATAAAATAACACTCAACTCTTCTTGGCCATAGAAAACGGAAAGAAAAACACAATGCCTTGGCTTATTGTTGGAATGTCACTTTCTTCCACTGGTTGGGAGTTTATTGGTGTGTGACCCTCTTAACACAATCAAAGTATATTTCTTATGAATGAGAAATGTCCCACCAGAATGACTATTTAACTCTAATAAATTTGCCACCTTTAGAGGATTGGATTTTTGTTTATCTAGACAAATATCAGATGATTAACTGATAGATTAAAGCATGACAATCTTCATGATACTGTTTTCATTATTCAAAGAAAGAAACAGTTAACAAGTCAGAACAAACAAACATGAGACGCTCTCTTACAAGTGAAAACCAAATAAGCTTTTACCTTAAGAGCATGTAAATCAGTCAAGATCAAGAACATGCAAAAAAAACATGAGACGCTGTCTTACAAGTGATAACCAAATAAGCTTTTACCTTAAGAGCATGTAAATCAGTCAAGATCAAGAACATGCAAAAACAAGTTGACTAGTACCTGCCTGATCAATCTACCTGAAGAAACGTATCTATACTATTATTTGCGAAGTGATTTTTTGCAACGGAACTCCTACGTTAAAAGTTAGAGTGGTTAATATCGATTATACCATTTATGAAAATAATATATAAATTACATACAAAATAAAAACGAATTTAAATTATTATGATTAGATAAGTAACTAAAATTAATAATAATCATAAGAATTATCCAAAATCTAAATAATATCTTTATAATAAAACAGATAATTCTTATACATATTGTGTTGTTATCCGGAAATATATTTTTAGTAAAAAATCAAAAACAAAAAACACATAAATAAATATTCATAAAATAAAATTTTTAATTGTATAAAATTTAAAAGAGAAAATTTATAATTTATAATTTGTAATTATTTTCAAATTAAAAGAATATAATAATATAATAATATAATATAAGGATATATATATATATATATATTTGTGAAATTATTTTTTGCCTCTCAACTTACAAGATAAATTAAATTTATTTTATATTTTATATAGTTAAACCTTAAATACGAATTAATCATAATAAAATAAAAATCATTCCGAACTAAACAAAATACGTGTTTGACCAAAATAAATTCAAACATATTCTATTATTATATAAACTAATATTATTCTTTCTTTAAAATCAATTTTTGAATGTATATTTATCGATTTAATTTTTCAAATTGAAAGATAGATTTCTATATTTTTTATCAATTAAGAAGAAATGAAATAGACTTCAGATTTTTCAAAGTGTTAAAGGAAAAAAAATAGATTTTTAAAAATTTGTGGATAATTTTATCATGCAAAAAAAATTGATGTTTTACGTCGAATTTTTTTGATACAAATAATCATTTATTTTGATAATTATTTAAATTGATTTAAAAATAATTAAGCCGCATGTGCGGGCAAAACACCTAGTTTTCTTAGAAAGAGAAAACAAAATGAAAATTTCCTGGATGTGATGACTTTGCATGGAAGTGTACAACCGGTGGGTTTGGGCCCCAAACCGCTGCATTAATGGGCTATACACGGACCCATTTACATTCCCTCCAACCCATTGTCTGTGTAACTTATCTTCCCGTATCAAATCAATCGCCGGTTTCATATCAATGCAGGACTCGGAAAAACCAAACTCAACCCCAATCTCTCACTGAGTCCACTCGGTTATCTTCTTCTTTGTCTATATCCCAACAAAGCTTCCTCGAACATCCTCTTGTGGTTTCGTTTCTAATCGTAAGTTTCATTCTTGTTCCTTCTTTCCAAGGTTTTATCGTTCTCAAAGTAGATAAATTAGATTTAAGCAGATAGATTGATATATGTAGTTTGATCTCCCTATACGATAGAAACTTCACTTAGACTCCTCAGGACATAATAGTAGATTTCATGTTTTGATTCGAAATTGTATTGTTCTGTTCAGGTAACAGAACCTTAGTTATGGAATCGTGACATCGAGTGTAAACCCTAATTTAATAGGCCTGTTTAATTAGGTCAGTTTCTTTATGGGATTAACGGTTAAAAACGCAAGTAGTGATGGTGAGTGGACAGTGGTCTTACCAAATAAAAGAAGACATGGTAGAAGAAGAAAACCAAAACCTAAGGTTCATGAAGAAGAAGAAGAGAAGCCATGGAAGTCAGATGATCTTGAAATTGATCTACAGAGACAAGCAAGATTAAAGAAGAAGATGGAAATCTCCATCAATAAAATAGAGAGCTCAAAATTCTACAGTACATTCTTAGAACAGGTCAAGTCTTCAAAGGTTTCAGACCAGTTTCGTCTCGTGTTAGGCACTGAAACACAGCTTCAGATGGTTATGTATGGTATAGGAAGCATAGAGTCTTACGAATCTCCACGGTTTCAGCTGAGCGTTGCGATTTTGATGAAGAGAGAGTTTGGTTGGGTTGGGGACATAGAAGTATTCGATCCAGTCCTCTCGGCGACTGAATCTAGTGTACTAGAATCTTTGGGATGTACTGTTTTGTCTGTGAACGAGCAAGCTCGTAGGGAAGCTTTGAAGCCTACCCTTTTCTTCATGCCACACTGTGAGGCCAATCTGTACAGCAATCTATTGCAAGCAAACTGGAGAATGGATCGATTGTCCAGGATGGCTTTGTTTGGGAACAGCTTTAAGATGTATGAGGAGCAAGTGATGTTAGAAGAGGAAGTCATCCGTGCTACCAAACGGATCATAGCTGCAAGAAGAATCACTAGTGAGTTTGCTATTGAGATTGTATCAGATGATTATTTTCCAGCTTTCCATGATTCAAGCTGGCATTTTTTCAGTTCTGGTTTAGATTCCGAGCTGCCATTGTTGGTTTCAGAGGGATCATAGCTCATTGTTTTTGCATTTGTTAGAATTTTGTTCTGCATAATCTTAGCCATCAAGTAAAGAGTCGAACCAATTGTTGTGCTTAGCAAAGAGTTGGTTTGCCCACCAAGTTGATATCACCGGTTATGAATTTTTGTATTTCTTGTTGTGGCTAGAAGTTGTGTAATCTCAGTTGATATAATTACGATTAGTCTATTTTCATTAGTTGCAAGCAAATGAGAGAGAAAACATGGACAAATGTTAGTTGAGCAACTTTTAAAGTCCTTTCACTTGGTTTTAATAACAAAAAAAAATGATTTATGAAAGCTGATACTTGTAGATACAAGTTGGTTCTTGTACGTATTTTATCAACTTGGCACCAATAATTTGGTCTGAGCCATCAACGTGTAAGAAAATCTAATTTTCTAAAGATTCTACCTTCCACCTCATTGCCATACATAATAGCATATGTCACAAATTATGTAACTAACAGCAACAAATTTTAAATACAAAAAAAAAAAAAGATTTAATTATTAATCAGTCAGCACGCTTTTCCTTCTTGCATAATTCACAAACCGAAACGTTGTCGTCTGGTGCCTTTTTTCCCAGAAAAAACGGAGATCAAATGGGTTCCACATAAGTCAGACACGGCGCTTCTTTTGAATTTTCTCGGCGTTTCCACTTTCCGCGTTTGGGGTCAAACACGCTTGAACGAAACACTCCTTCCTTCCTCTTTACATAACGTCCGTTAATACCTCCGCTATCTCCCACCCAGTCGAACACTTACCACGTGTCCATTCACCGTCTAACCCGACGCCGTTAATTCCGCTCCAACGCGAGCATTAAAAACAGCGTTTTCATCTTATCACCATCTCAACTCCTCCCACATTTTAAACTCTCTGGTCAGCGAATCCTCTCACCGAGTCAGAAGGTTTTAAAAAGATGCCGTCATCGTCGACTACACCAACCACCGCGTCCTACTGGTGCTACAGCTGCACGCGATTCGTCAGCGTCTGGTCCGAATCCGAACAAGGCACCACCACACTCACCGTCGCTTGCCCCCACTGCGACGGCGGATTCATCGAAGAGGTAACCCCTTCCTCCTCCGCCTCCGCCGCCGCCGAATCACCTCTCCCAGCCTCCACCGAAGTCAGATCGATCGATAACACCCGTAGATCCGTAATCAGACGCCGCAGATCCACTCGTCGCCCTTCCTTCAACCCCGTAATCGTCCTCCAAGGCGGCGCCGCCGGAGACGATTCCGAGGAAGGAGAACGACGACGAGGCGGAGGAGGCGCGTTCGAGTTTTACTACGACGACGGATCCGGATCGGGTCTCCGTCCCCTCCCGGATTCCGTATCCGAGATCCTGATGGGATCGGGATTCGAGCGGTTGCTCGAGCAGTTAAGCCAGATCGAAGCATCCGGAGCCGGAATCGGTAGATCCGGAAACCCTCCCGCGTCGAAATCAGCGATCGAGGCGCTGCCGAGAGTGGAAATATCCGATTGCCACGTCAGCGCGGAGGAGAGCTGCGCTGTTTGCACTGAGGTGTTCGAGGCGGAGAGTGAGGCGCGTGAGATGCCGTGTAAACATATTTTCCACGATGACTGTATTACCCCTTGGTTATCGATTAGGAACTCTTGTCCGGTTTGCCGGTTCGAGCTGGCGGCTTCGGAGGGTAACGGAAGAGGGGGTGAGGAGGGTGGGGAGAGTGCTGTTGGGATGACGATTTGGAGACTACCGGGAGGGGGGTTTGCGGTTGGGAGGTTTAATGCGGCGATGGGGGAAGGGGAGAGAGTTTTGCCTGTTGTGTTGACGGAAGTGGATGGTGGTGGGATTGTTGGTGGGAGTAGTGAGGGTCCGAGAAGGATCTCGTGGGTTAGGGCACAGGGGATGGGGGAGTCGGAGGGTGGTAATGGTGGTGGTGGTGGGTCGGGAGGGAGGTTGAGAAGGATGGTTCGTGGGATGGTGTCGTTGATGAGGAGAGTGAGACCAAACCGTGGAGGTAATTCGTCTTTGTCGGATCGTGTGGATTTGGATGTGGAGGTGGAACGTAGGGGTTTGGAACGGTCGAGTTCGGTGATGAGGAGATTCTTTGGGAGGAACAGAAGTAGCAGAGATTCTTCTGTTCTGCATTGATGTTTTTGATATATATGTTTGGTGTGTGTTTGTTCATTCAACTAAAATGTAAATAGAAGGATTCAGAAGAAGGAAGATTGGAAACCAAGAACGATTCTTTTTTTATTTTTACATTCTTTTGATTCGTCGTATGTTACATTACATTGCATCAAAATGTCTAATGTTTTCATTCAAGCTTTCATCATTTTTTCTTTTCTTTACCTTTGTCTTGGACTCAGATCCTCGGAAGTTTTCCCGAGATTTTGGCTTTGTTTTGGTTTCCGAGAAAGTAAAAGAATGCTTGTTCTTTAAGCCTTTTTTTTCCCTCGGATGCTAAGAGTGGACCTAACTGGGAAAGAGATGCACAGAAATGAGAAAAGAAGACAAAAGTCTTGATGGTTAAGTTGGGTGCCAAATTTGAATTCAATTCCAACTGCAAGTTCCCTTTTAATTCATACCTCGACTCCACGGCACGTTTAGATTTTGTTTCAAAACGGTTGACCCGGTCAACAAAAATTTATTGAACGATGAGTTAACATAAATACTTTTTTAACATTTTGATCAGAAAAAAAATACTTTTTTTTACATAAATGATAAATCCATCTTTTGGTAGATGTAGACCAAAAATTCTCTCCTCAATTCTTAAGCACTAGAGTTTCTGTAATGAAAGTTTCATTAGACAAAGATGGAGTTTATAGATTTCAAAGGAAGGTGTTTCAAAAGAAAAAAAAAGTTTCAAAGGAAGATCCTGAGGTCACAAGACGACGATATTTCTCACGTGCTGACGCCAACAAAACGGTAACTTCGATATATACAGTACTTCGCCTTCTAGTAACTAGAGAGATTCTTTCTTTCTTTTGTTACATAGCTCCAGATGCTCCAAATCCTAAGGAACTCCCAGTGACTTGCAGGTGACGAAAATTGTTATGTACTAATGTGATGAGCATTGCGTGTGGAGTTGTGTATATAACAACTTATGTCAAAGGGTCTAAGCCTCGTTACAAGCCAATCTACAAGTTTCTTGCTGTCTTCCTTGACTTTAGTTTACTCTCTATTGTTATGATTTGGGGTTAATTTTGTCGACAGTCTTAGGGGTGGTGGTGTTGGGTTCAGTAATAGAATTGAATTAGTTTCATAATTAGTTTTTTTTTATCGTTTTCAAGTTCATTATCCAGGAACATATTCAACATACAATATAAATCATTGGCAGGAAATCATTAAGATGTTTTCTTTAAGGTCCATTACAAAACAGTTCGGCATATGTCAAGCGACTTAAGCCCAACAATGCAATTCAACCAAAGGGAAAAACAATGCGGTATACAGTTATATGATCTAGGGGATAGTACTTCTATTTATTTTATTTGTAATATGGACCGACATGTATAAATGCGAACAGTGCCGCTGGAACACTGGTACAGTTTTGTTTATATATGTCTTTTCCATTCCCAATGTTTCAGAAGGAATCTCTCTCACTTCAATACAAACACACAATATTTAAACACAAAATTGTTAGAAAATATCAAAATGCTAGACTGTGAAAATGCAGTTTGAGCATAATCTTTGTGTTACAGTAGCTCATGAGTTGATACAAGTTCAATAAACAACTAATGTACTTCAAATTAGTGTACCAGTCTTATAATCTTTAAACATATTATACCACTTTTCGTTTGTGAAGTACACATTGTCTAAGTTTATCTCTTAATGTACGTAACATGGTAAAATTTGGATATTCTTTAAATTTACTGAAAATATAACACAACACTTCTTGTAGAAGTGAAAAACAAATACATTTAACTTGAAACAGATGGAGTGTATCATTAATACAAAATATATTAAAATAATAATAATTAATGGATAAGCAAAAAGATAAAACGAGTAAATACTTAACCTAGTCTTCTTTCTTCACGTCTATAGTGAATCTTAGGCGTGTTTGTGCCAACAAACGAGCATCAAAATGCAGCGTTTCATGATGTAGAACCGAGACTTGTGCTCCTTGGCCACATTACGACACTTTCGGGTCACTGAAGCGCCTTTATGAGACAAGCTCCGAGAGATGGAACTCTTGGTAGAACATGTGTCAGCTTGGCATTTCGTTGAACCGCCTCTTGACAGAAACGGAGATTTTGAACGAGCGGGTTTTGCCGAGAAACTTCGTCTAAAGATGGGTTCCGAGGAAGAATGTGAAGTGGGTTTTGTTGTGAAACTTCTTGTCAAGATGGGTTTTGAAGATGAAGACGAAGTTTTTGTTGAGAAGCTTCGTGTGAAAACGTCGGGTTTTGAAGAGAAATGAGTTGCTTCGAAGATGGAATCTTTCTTGGAAACTCTCCACAACTTTTCATCATCCATGGATTAGGAGTGGTTATTTTAGGTTCTTTTGATTTTAACTCTCTATAAATAGATGGTCATCAATATAAAAATGTGTGTGCGTGTGTGTGTTTGATGTTTGGTTTATAGATAGAGCTAAGAAATGGTAGAGAGCTTGGAATGAAATAGGTCAAAGCTTTTAAGACACTTCTTATAATAGTCTAGAGTTATGTGTACATAGTACATACACATACGTTTTTCAAATTGAATATTGTATTTAATTAATAATCTTTTTTGACACTGTTTATATCATTCAAATTAGTAAAGAATCTTGAGACATGTTTGTCGATAAACCACATTAAAGTACGTTTCACGCACGCAGAGCTTTAGATGAACATCGTCATATTACGTTAATTGAAGTCAGTTATAAAGAAAACGGACAAATATATGTCATCACATGTGTACTAGATGATAATGAGATAGTGGTTGAGCAGTATAGTTATTTTAACTGAACAAAATTTGTGAAGAACAATGATATAAAAGCAAGAAAAATGATATTTCATTCCTCATCCTAACATTTTCATGCCCAACAATAAAAACAAGAAAAGAAATAAGATTCGACATAAGTTCAAACATTTTATACGTTTTCTCCACAGTTAACATGGCATCAATTAATTATTCGAGACTTCGGTCAATCTTGCTAGTTCTTCATATAAAATTACGAAGCACAGAGACTTATTTTAGCTAATTTGTTATCGACGTCATTACATACCTTTGTCTTTAATTTTTTTCTTTATTTTTTTATCTTTGACTTTTTTTATATTTTTGCAAAAGCTTACAAATATCGGATTAAATGTTAGGGTTTTCGTAGCTAAAGAAAAATCATCAAGAAATCCCCTATACAGTATATTAATCCTCAAACATTACAATATTTTTTTGTTGTTATGTGTCACAATGAAAATAATTTTCAGAATTTTTAGAGAAATATGCTGGTTCATGTAAACATATGTTATATTTCTATTAAACTAACTATTATATTTAATTAGTAATGTACAAAAAAGATTCTCTATTTTTTCCTTAAATAAAAACTACAAAATTATCTAATATGATTAACATATATATCATAGTTAATGATTATGAATAATAAAGATTTGATAACAATATTTTTATCCTCTTTACTTTTTATTTAATTTTATATTATATTAAAAAATTTAAACAATCACATTAATCATATAAAAATAGTTTTTTTCTTATATGTTAGATTTTGAATTTATTAAAACAACTATAAATTATTAAAAATGTTAAACATCTTACTTTAAATTTTTTGTGATCAATGGTAAATTTTTTTAGTTCAGCCAATCGTTTTTAATGGGCCGTAAACAATTTTTAATGATTAACTAAATAGATCACGTACAAAATAGAGTGTGTTTTGGTTTAAAAATTGTTGCATACCCAAAATCAATATGAACCATCATCCCTTTCGTTTAAAATTTTGTTACAATAAAAAATATAAGGTTGAATAAAAAATATGAATTCAAATAACCTAACTAAATCTAATATGAAAAATAATACAAAACATTAACCAAACTTGGTCAGATATCCAAACATATTTAAAATTTTGGTATCTAGAGAATCAAAACTGCATCGAAATATTTTGGGTATCCGAGAGTACTCGAACCAGATTTATATACATAAATATATTAATTATTTTAAAATTTAACATCTAAGAATATATAAAATACAGGAGATGTTTTAAAAAATTTCAAAATACGTAGAAACATATAAATAGTTAAAAGTATATTTTGAAAATAGCTAAACGATATTCCAAATACCAAAAATATTTGAAATATTTATTGATTTTTTGTCAAAATATTTAAGATAAACTAATTTTATATTAAGTTTAAGTATTTTGGAATACAATTTTCAGATTTATATGTTAATATTATTTTTATTTTTAGATTTTTAGAAATTTAAAGTATATATGAACTTTAAATTTTTTTAAGAAAATTAAATGGGTTATCCGAATCTAAATCCAAACCGAACTTGCAAAGAATCGAATCAAACCCACAAAGATCTAAACCAAACAAAACCTAACTTAACCAAATGGTATCCGAATATTCATCTCTAATCAAATGTACAAAAAGATTTTTGATAACAAAATATGTATTTAAATACAATATATTTTAAAAAACTCACTCCGCGTATGACACAGATTATCATCTAGTAGTACTTTTATAAAACAAACATCAAGTTAAATATGAATTTTCACGATTAAACTCACCAGCTTATGTAAACTCTGAAAGTTCATTAATACACTTTTCAAAAGAAACTTTGAAAAATTATTAATTATTACCATTTTCTAATTTGTATTAGCAAGGAAACTATGCCTCGAGATTCATATGATCCATGTGGAAAAATGATTTTTTTTTCTTAATCGGGTCAAAGAAACTATAAATACACGATCTAACTTGGGACCATAGGCAACGAATTGACCAAAGAACACTTAATGGACCACACACACATGTGACCATGTGAGTTCCCAAAACCCATAACCACAAAAGACTTCTCACTTCTGAGTTCTCACTGTTCATATTCATCTTAGAAACGTGTCAAAGACTACTTATTTAAATATAGTGGATACAAATATAATTGTCACGAACTTGTTTGGTCTTTTAAAGTATATATGTGGAATCCTTTTGAAAGCTCTACACGTGAATGGTTTTGCCAAACACAAAAGCAAGAACAAAATCATCACAAACTTGAGGATACTTCACAACAAGTGTGTGATCAAGAAACTAACAAGAAAACAGACTTTACCTTCTGTTTTGGAGTCCATGTAACATCATCGCAGAGACATCTTTATTTTCTTCATTAGAGGGAAAAAAAAAGTTGACAAGAGTAGCCATGTATATGCTGATGCAGCATCATCAAGATTCCCATTTGAAACGAGCCCAAACAAAGGAAACTACATCTCTTGTGAATCTTAATGATGCTGCATCTGCAACTACTGGCTGTTAGCAACTATCAGAGGCTAGATCTTTTGCTTTTTTCATCAAGAAACCAAACAGAGCAACCACAGACAAAAGACCCTCATGGGTTTAAGCTCTAAAGTTGGAAATTATTTTATGGCCTCCCCCAAATGAACCACGGTAAGAGGAAAGCAGGAGGACTTTGAAAGCAAATCAACCAGCAAGATGATTTTTGGGGATAAGCAAATAAGAGAGAGAGGTGCATGAATATATACACTACAATGAAGAAAGCTAGTTGGTCGATGTAAAATCACTTAGAAAGGGACAGAACTAGCATCAAGAGAAACCTATCTGATAATTAACTTTTGATTAGAGAGAGAGATCACATCAATATAACACAAGCCTACTTAACTACACAAGTGCCATGTATAGACAGGCCAAAGCTAAAGAGTTTTTTTCATATGGAAATATCTGAAAATCTCAAGTGTTTTTATACAGAAACCTCAAAACCCTTTTTTCTGCAAAGTGCCATGAAGAAGTCATTAAAGAAACATTTCCAGGTGGAGATGGCTAATGGGTTGCAAATGCAATGGACTATAGAATAAAGTTCTATCAGGATGGAAGAATTGTTATTAAACAAATCATATGATTGATTAGTATTGAACAAGTGGGATTAGGAATATTATTAGATTAACAATGATCACTTTATCAAACTAATCATGATTAAGATTGTTCCCTGTGCGTTTCCTTACGTGTAAAGGCCAAAAACACTCAGAAAGCAAACAGCTTTAGGTTTTAACTGGAGGTACTCCATATACTTTTTAAGTTAGTGAATCAGTTAAGATCAGGAGATTAGAAATTAGCGTCACATGTACCCCATTTCAATGATCAGTAAAAAGAAAATGAATTCAGCAAATCACGTTGGATTATGCAACAGCAAAAATTTATCTACATCAAAAGCCACGGCAAAAATAGTATAAAGCACTCAATCAAAATATGTGTAAGGAAATAACTTAGCACCATAAGCTACTACAGCTACAAGCAATCAAAGATGATTTGTCTGGTCGTTTGGTTTTCTTAAAAGCCAATCAAGTTTCAGATCCTTTTAAAACCAAAGTGCTGCAACTATAAACTAAAATAATGATGACCAAATATCTTGAAATTGAATAGCATAATAAGCATATCCTTTTCACACGCCTAACATTTCACATAAAAATGGAAAAATCCAACTCATCATCCATCATTTCATACATCTTTGACTGATAGATACCAGATAATTAGACACAACAACACATGTTCCTCTAACGCCACTAGTAAACAAAAGGAATGAACTTGTGCCTAACCTTATCAGCATAATCCAAATACCTTTGCCCGAAACTCTCCACCATCAACTCCTCCTCCATCTTCGCCTTTTTGCTATAGTAAACCAAACAAACCCCCACAAGAAACAACAGACTCAAAGGCGCACGAAGCGCGGTGCAGTACGCCGCGAAAAGAAGCATCGTAGACGCATATATCGGATGCCTGACCCATCTATAAGGACCAAACTGCACAACATCGGTCGGAACAACAACCTTTTCAGAATACCTAGCGAGATACAACGTTGAATCGTAATGCATAAGCATTGTAACAACAATCAAACCCCATATCCCTACATTAACCCAACCACCCGGTAAACGGTGAAGCTCAGGGCCTTCAAAAGCCGCAAGCCAATGTCCAACCACAACACCAACACCAAACAAAACACGAGACCATAGAGGCGTGTCCACATCCCACTTGGGGTCATGGTTGCGAGCGTAGTAATCTCCATAGAGGCGTTTCCTCACGGTTACGTTAAAGAAGAAGAAGTAATGATAAGCCAAGAAGAAGACAAAAGGCCAGCCTTCGAGATAGCCGTTGAAGTAAGCAGGAGGGACGAGTGTAAGCCATGTGAAGACTGAAGTTACGATACCAAGCTGCTCAAAGGCGTTGGCTTGGCCTAGCCAATGTTTACGGAAGCAGTAAGTGCCGTAACCCGCGAGACCTAAAGCGATGAACCAAGGCCAGAAGAGCCATGTCCAGCTGAAATACATCCAGAAGAATGGGTTGAAGGCCAAAGTCACAACCTTTTTCGCAGCTAGAGTGAGAATTGACAGTAAAAGAGTTAACTTCACAGCATCCAATGGGTTTAATTTGAGATGAGTGACTTTATTAACAAGCTGTCGGAACTTGCTAAGGAGAGGGTTGTCGGAACCGGAAACAGTCGAGGTGGAAATCGAGCATTTGGGCAGAAAGGACGAACCTTTTCTCACTGGGGATGGAGGAAATCTCAAGCTAGACGGACCCTTAATCGCCTCGAAGCTTCGGAGTAACGGAGTGTTTCTGGAAGAAGCAGGGAGAGAGTTGCACTTAAGGTGTTTGTTGAAATGCCTGAGAGAAAACTTTCGGTTTCCTTCTAACGGCGTCCTTCGAGGGACAACCTTTGAGCAGAGAAGCACAGCTTCCATGGAGAAGATAAGTTCAATAAAGATGGATACGCGAAGACAAGATTTAGGAGAAAGGTTTCAGCTTCATACTGTGTTTGATACGAATCGAAAAGCCGGATTAAACAGATAAACATGACGCAGACGAGAAGTGGGCCTTTTATGGTCCATTGGGTTATTCAGTAAGGCCTTTTAAGAGAGGAAAAGCTATAATGGGCTTTGGCAAGTCATGTGATGTGGGGGCAATATTGTTAAATTTAGGAAGGTTCTATTATGTGTTGACTTAACGCCTGCGAGGTCTTTGCCGTGGAAACCGACCGGTCGCACATGGAGCCGCTGGCAGAGAAGAAGTCGCTTCTCAGGAGCATTGTTTCCTTACAAGGAAAAATATGTGACTTTTACATCTCTGTTATTGAAATAAAAATGTATAAAAAGAGTCTTAGCAAATTCTCATTTTAGAAAATGAGGAAAAGTAGCAATGAAAATTAGAAAGTGGAAACTTTAAGAATTCAAAATAAACTAACTTAGATTTGTTATCGAAGTAAAAATTATAATGGAGTAATATTGTCTAGCAAAACAATAAAACGTGAATTGGAGAGTGAAAATAAGAGGAAGTCTATTTACACAACAATATATTCCATCTTATATGTATCGAAGGATCGTAAGTAAAATGTAAAAGTTAGGGTCTTTTTTAAGTGTCAAACGGTTCGTCCACGGTCCATCAGTCTTATTAAAAAGAAGGAAAAACAAATCGTGGTCAAGAATATCTCACTAGTCTTTCTTTTTTTTTTGGTCATCACTAGTCTTTCTTATTTTTATCTTTTTCTATGTTTTCTTAAATGAAAAACGTGAAATGTGTAATTATTGACGCGTAGACTTTATAACATGCCTATTGAATGGTTTATATTTAATTATTTTGAATTATACATCAACGTTAATTTGTTTATTTAAAGTTTAAATTTACAGTTGCAATAATGCACTCGATTAAACAAATAAGGTAAAGTACTCGTCTATTATTAATTTATAGAAAAGTTGGTCTTCATTGGTGACTTCATTTTCACACGCGTTTTAGTTGTTTCTTATATAAACATATCTGCATTCTCTTCTTCTCTTCATTCAATATTTCCTCTTCAGATATCATTTCTCTCAAGTATATTATTTTCTCTCTTTGTTTTATTTGACGTATCTCTTCTTCTTCTAAAACACCAGGCAGTTTTTGGAAAAATGGAATTTGTGAACACCTCTACACCAAGATATGAATGCCTCCTCTTTGGTAAGAAGTGCTGTGTCTTGTGTTTTCTGTATAAAAATAGAGAAAATTATAAGCAATTATGTAACAAATCTTAATGATCTGTCTTTATATATGTTTCTAATAGATTTGGATGATACTCTTTATCCTTTAAGCTCTGGTTTATCAGAAGCATGCGCCAACAACATCATAGGTATGCTATAGCTTTTTGATAACATTTTTATTTCAGTTACTAATTTACATGTTTAATCTTTAACATAATGGAATGATCCGAATTACCATAAGTAGAATTCATGGTTGAGAAGCTCGGAATAGATGAAGATGGAGTAGTTGAACTAAACCAAATTCTCTATAAGAAATATGGAACTTCAATGGCTGGTCTTAAGGTAATTTACTATCATACATATGTTGAATAACCCTGAAAATTAATTATCACTAGAATCATGTATATATATACAGTATACATATATATAAAGACTTGCACCACAATCTCGTTAATCACATGATAATGCATCGTTCGGAGCTAACCAAATTGATAACTAATGCAGGCGGTAGGTTATGAATTTGACAATGATGAGTACCACAGATTTGTTCATGGAAGATTACCTTATGAAAACCTTAAACCAGACCCGGTTCTGAGAAATCTACTCCTTACTCTACCTTTGCGGAAATTAGTATGTAGCTTTATTTATTTATACGTATTTTGCTTAATTTCAGTTTGTATATAATATTAGTAAACGTATGCCTTCGGTTTTTCTTTTGGTAAGGTTTTCTCGAACGGAGATGAAGTTCATGTGATGAAGGCTTTAAAGAGACTCGGCATCGAAGATTGTTTTGAGAGAATCATAAGTTTCGAGTCCTTGAATCCTAAGATCAACGAGACTGAGGTTTCTGTAGATTACCTTCCAGAGATTCCGGTTACCTGTAAACCAGCAGAGATTGCTTTCAAGAAAGCCTTCGACATTGCACAGCTCAATCCTCACACAACCGTAAGCTTCTAGACCTATATAAGAGCACTCCCATTGAGAGTTCAAATGGGGGTTCACACGGAAACCAAAAAAATAAAATAATAAAATAACAAAAATCTATGAACCACTCTCTCCTAAAGTTCACCCGTATGAACCCCTCTCTCCTAAGGTTCACCACGTATCGGCCCGGGATTGGTCTAGGTCTTTTTTTTTCTTTTTTTTTTTAAAAAAAAATAAAAAAAAATCAAAAAGATTTTAATAATAAAAAACTGATTCAAGAGGGGGTTCATTGATGTGGATGCTCTAATAACCGAAGACGTAGATTTTTTTTTTGTTTAGATATTCATACAAGAACTAATGTTACTTGTGTTTCTTTCTTGTACAGTTGTTCTTTGACGACAGTATCCGTAACATCCAAACTGGAAAGGTCATGGGTCTCCATACAGTCCTGGTAAGAACGGGTTAAAGTCTTGAGCCAAACCAACTTATACCAACATGGGTTGAAAACGTGCATGCTTGTTAATTAACCAGACTTTATAGAAAAATCCTAATCGAAAATGTTATCAATATAATGTTAGGTTGGTAAATCGGAAAAGGTGGAAGGAAGTGATCACGCGTTAAAAAGCATTCACAACATGAAAGAAGCATTTCCGGAGTTATGGTCGGAATCCAACAACAAAGAATCTGAAAGAATTGGTTACGCCACACAAATTTCGATTGAAACTCCTGTTCATGCTTAGTTTTACATGTTTTGTTAAGTTTGTGAAGAATTCTATATCTAATTATATATAACTAATGTATAATACAACCAAATATCCAATATATTCACCATTAATTGTTGGTGTAGCGGTTGATATATATGGTGTCTAGCTATGTATTTGTGGTTTAAATTAAATAAAGTGTATTTGATTACATAGGTATGCTCTTTTGTACATATTAAGTAATAAAGTGTTATATACATGCATCTTGAACCATACAAAAATTGTGTATTTTGATTCCAGTAGTGTAGTTTAGTGGTAACAGAAAGTATGGATTAAGGTTTTAATCAATAGTAACTTGGAACATAGTAACCTCATATATCTTGAAATTGAATTCGATTCCAGCTTGGAATAAAAATTGATGTTATTTGATCAATTCGGGTTTGACTTTAGCTCAGATAGTTTACTAGTAATAGATGAGATGGTTACCTCATATCATTAGTTGAAATGTAGTCCCAGGATCAAACAGCTTGGTAACCACTCAATATTAAGGGTGTACACAAAGTGAATATCCGGATATTTGGAGGTATTCATAATCCAGTCTGATTTATCTGAATAATCAATTATCCGATTATATTTAATATGTGATCATCCGGATATTGGGTGCACACAATATCCGAAAAATTTTACTCCCTCTGTTTCTAAAAGATACATTTTCTAGTGTTTTCACACATATTAAGAAAATACATTAAATTACTATCGTTTTCCGTAATTTTCAATTTTCAACAACTTTTAACCAATAGTAATCTAATAAAATCAATTAATTTTGTTGAAACTTGTAATTTTCTCATAGAAAACATAGAATATACATCTTTTTGAAACAAAACATTTTTCCAGAATATGGATCTTTTAGGAACGGAGGGAGTATATTTTTACCCGGATATCCGATTTAATCTATAAAAATAAAAATAAAAATCCAAATAAAACATAAAATAATGTTTTATCACAAAAAATATTTACTTTTAAAGTTATAATAACTAATGTAATAAATTTAGTAAACAAATTTTTATAAGACTTAGATAAAATATGATATTCGTTTCTATTTTTTTTTAATATTTGTGATGTGCTTCTTTTTTACTAATATTATATTTTATTATTTACTTTGCTTCGAGTTACAGATATTTTGATTTTTTGGTTTGAATTGAATGGATAATGAATCGAATCAGAATCTACAAATATTTTGTCCAGCTCTATTTAGTAGTACTAAGTGCTGTTTTTTTTATTGCAGTCGACAAGGTATATTAAACAAAATGTGTATTTCATAACTTTTGTTAGTTACACAAACATGTATTTTTGCGTCCGGTCCATTGAGAACCTCGAATAGTACTATAGCAAATCTAGGATCGCCGATAGTTAAAATAAAATTGACAAAAAGTGTTGTTTGTCGGCTCCTAAAGATTACGCATATCGTCAGGTGATTCGCTTGGCAAAGTTAAAAGATCACGTGGTGGAGAATCGTGAATGTGGACGTGAGCGAAAGCTTTGTCCAGTTTTAACGGCAACCAGTGGATGTGTCATGAGAACCCCACCCCACCCCACCCATTGAGACGTTTTGGCTAACATTTCAACTTTCTATTTATAATTTTATTTCCTCATTCACTTCTTCTTCTCCCCGATATTTTTCTCATCTCCCTTGAAGAAGTTTCATTGATCAGGAAAAGGTAAAGTCACTGGCTTCCCTCCTCTTTCATTTGTTAGGTTTTAGTTTGTTTTCATTGTCTTTACTGTTTCGTGTCGGAGAAACTAATAATCTGCATGGACTGGATCCTTTCACTTTTGTTATAGTCATTGGTTAGTTTTTTTTCTTCTCCCCTTGATGATTTCGATCTTTGGTGAGTGTTCCTTTATTTATTTCGAGTTATGGTTTCAGTTGATCTATAGAGATGTGTATGTCGTCGGTAATGACGTAATGGGAGTAAAACTAGCTAGATGTAGTTTGTTGGGATCTCATGTCTTAGTTGTAATGTTGTGTGTTAGAGAGATTGAGATTCAGTTTTGTTTATAATTTGTTTTCAGGTGGTGTCTGTCAATTAGAGAAACAAATATGGCGTACGAGGAAAACTTTCAGCAAACGTCCGAACCTAAATATAAATGTCTTTTGTTTGGTAAGCATAAAGGATAGCAATGCTTACTTTAAATTTTAAATGTAACATTAGATGGCTTAGTTTTGATGATTGTAAATAATTGTTGGACTTTGATGAAACAGACATAGATGATACTCTTTATCCTTTCAGTTCTGGTCTGGCTACGCTTGTTAAAAACAACATTCAAGGTCAAAACTCCCCCCATCACATTCGTTTCTTTGTTCTTCTTCTCTGAAAGCTTTTTGGTTGCTTATGTTGTAACTAAACATGTCTTTGTTGTTGTTATTGCTGCCGCTGTAGAGTACATGACTCAGAAACTGGGTATTGAAGAAGATAAAAGTCCAAGAACTGTACCTTTCGCTTTACAAAATCTATGGAACTACTATGGCTGGTCTCAAGGTTTCTTCTTCTTTTCTTTTTTCACCCACATTGTTCAACGTTTTATTTGTATTGTTGTCCAATGTTGTTAATAATGTGGGTTTTGATGTTGATTCTTTTAGGCTGTGGGTTATGACTTTGATTACGACGATTTCCATCGGTACTCTAAACTGAACCATCAATTTTTTCATATTATTATTTTTTTGCTTTTTGCTCGATGTTGTAGTAAAAGTGTAAGTTGTTTTTAGAGCTTAAGATTCCTCATTTTTTTTTTTAATACAGTTTTGTTCATGGGAGATTGCCGTACACAACACTCAAGCCTGACCCTATTTTGAGGAACATTATTCTTGGCTTGCCTCTTCGGAAAGTTGTATGTATCTCTCTCACTTGTTACTTAAGCTCTTAATTTTTTTTTCTTTTTTTTTCTCAGTCACCTATATTATCTAAGTCTTTCCTTCTTGCACACAGGTTTTCACGAATGCAGACAAGGCTCATGCAGCCAAGATTATTAGCAGGCTAGGTCTAGAGGGCTGCTATGAAAGAATCATATCTTTCGAGACTCTGAACCCAAACACCAATACTGAATCTCTTGTTGCTGCTACTGAAACAAGAAGTTTCACTGCAAACCCTGACTCAAGTATCCAACTCCCAAAGACTCCGGTTATATGCAAACCATCTGAAGGAGCATTCGAACATGTTTTCAAGATGACAAACATCAACCCTCACAAGACAGTAAGAACACAACCATGTTTCTACCTCTCTTGTTCTTTTTACCTAATCACTAAAACAGCTTAATAAGTCCCAAAACCCTTTGGTGGTGGGTACTTTCAGTTGTTCTTTGATGATAGCATCCGTAACATACAAACCGGGAAACGTGTGGGTCTCCACACCGTTTGGGTAAGTAAAAGACAATGAGACATTAACACATACTTATCAATCTCAAAGCTCATCTTTGTTTGCTTTACTTTTTTTTTTTTTCTTAAATTTATTAATGTAGGTTGGGACCTCACACAGAGATGAAGGAGTAGATATAGCATTGGAGCATATTCACAACATACGTGAGGCTCTTCCTGAACTATGGGAAGCTGTTGACGACAAAGCGGAGGAGATATTAGATCCAGGCAAAAAGTCGCCATTGAAACCATTGCTTAAACCAAACAGCTTCAAAGCTCATATAGTAAACACAAAGATGACATACACGAATACTACTTTATCACTCTTGGAAGATAAAATAATCTATATTATAATAGTTGAGTTTGAAGACTCCTCAACGCGCCACATCAGCATTAGGTGAATCCCACTTTAAAAATGTGAAAAAAATGTCAAACGTATGATTCGAACCCGGGTTATTAAGAAACAAATACTAACATTCATGCCACTAAACTACAAGATAACTTGTACATTGATGGCCGAAACTAATATATATTTAGCCGGAAGCCTTTGCATCTATGATCTCCTTTAAAGTTCGGGCCTGGAAGTGTATTATGAGTTTCATTTTTAATTGGGCTTCATCATATTATATGAAGAAAATCTTCAAGTTTACAACAGTTACAGTTTTCCCATATTGTAAACCGTTAATGTTTAAAATGAGTTAAAATTCCTTTCACCATCGTCTCATACAGGTCTGAGTTATAGAGTTGAGTCGTGTGTCTGTTCGTAATCTATTTTTTTCACCGGTGAACTTTTCATCTCCCCATCTTACATCGCTTGATCATAAATGTTACTGATTTGTAGCCCCTCTGTAAATCATATATATATGATTCTCATCTTTGATAACCCTATGTGCATCTCCACAAAACTTATCTATTCCTCTTAACTTTAACCATCTTCTAGAAAATGTTTCTCTCTCCTTCTCCAGTTCCTAAAACTAGCGTCACCGGCATCCGTCATGCAGCCTTCAAGTCTCTCTGTCATGTTAAAGTAAACATAAGCCATACCAACCAAATTAACATATAGAACCAAATCATTCAGTATGGGTTTTAGTAAACGGAACTAATAATAATAGAAATAAAGTCATACAACATATTCAAACCTTCTTATTGCAGGTTCCGAGGACACCGAATCAACAGAGATTCACTGAGTAAGGAATGTGATGGAAACAGCCTTAACTAAGGTGAGCTAATCTCTCTTCCATGTTGCTATATAAAAACTATAATTTCACAAAATGACACACTAAAACACAATCAGGCCAAGAATCACAAGAGCTTGTCACACTACTGAAGATGACGAGGAGAAACAAAAAGGGCGAGTAAACAATCCAGTTTCAGATCTAAATTGAGACTCAAGACTCATCAAATTTCAAGTCCAATCATTTAAAACCCA